ATGACAACATGTGGGGCTGAAAAATTGCATCTGAACATCAGACTTGCTATCATCATGACACATTTTCAAAATCTACCAAAATTAATACTAACCATTGCCCAGGTGTGGCTGGGCACCCCCAGCTTGTGGGCAAGTAAATTAAATTACGAACAAATGCTCGACTCGCTGATACTTTTGTTTGAATTTCGCGCGGAAATTACATTCCTTTGAATTTTAAAGGTTTACGGTTTCGTCTATTATATTCGAGTATATGTCATCAATGTTTGAGCAAAACTCACCCGCACGTTGACGGGAGTTCTTCGATTTCAATCCTTCCATCAAGAAGGGAAACAATCGGACGGCACTGTACATGGTCGGAATTTTTTCGATGATTTTCTTGGCACTATTACGGACGGGTTCCTTGGGATCTCCAACTTTCGCGATTAGGTAAGGAACGAAACAACTGATTTCCAAATCGTGCATGGAGTATCCTTCAATTGCCAGCTCATCAAAAATTGCCAGAACAAAATCCAATCCCTTCAGGATAACGCTGGGGTTCGTCTCAAAAAATCTTAACGTGAGCCACTTCAATAAAAGGTCCAAATTAGAAATAACAGCGGCGGTGTTCTTCGTCATCTGCGAAATAAATAAGTCGTTGAATTCGACAGGACAGTTTTGAATTTAAAAGGCGTGTGAAATGCTATACAATACCTCCATCAAGGACTCCAGCGCCTTGATGTGAAGCTTGAAGTCAGTACTGAACATCTGAGCAAGAAGACTTTGATTGGTTCCCGCATTCGATAACTGTTCTTTCAACTGGTCCACGAACTCCTCCCGAGGAGTATTGAAATTCCACTTGAGAACCTAAAGAAAAGTCGAGATTGCAAACTGACATTAGATACTCAATTCTCGAACAGTATATCATATCTCAACTCACTTTCAACTTGGCTTCATCAGCAAATCGAGCCAACTTCAAGTCGTTGACAGTTAACAGAGGAGAGGTGTCGACATCATCTCCTTTTTTACGGACTACCGTTGGCTTTGATGCTCCAGCCTAGGTGAGCAACATATTCCGTAATCATGAACGTACAGTACAGAATCAATAATTAGAATTATTTTCTGCAGACGTATTTGAAAAGCTCTCATTGAAAGAGAATTTTCTAAATAAAATTAAAGAAAGAATAAAAAACTAACCCTCTGACGAACGTTGATTTTCGACCCTGGTTTCGGTTTCGACGCTGAAGTCGGCTTAGAACATGGTTCATCATCAACATCGTCCTCTGGCGGGGGTTCCACGGGTTTTGCCTGAGGCTTCGGCTTGCCACTCCCACCGCGTATCGCCTTCGTCTCAGCAACCGGAGGAGGAGGAACAACTTTGACAGGCATACTACCCTTATGCTTTTCGATCAAAGCGACGATGACAGTTTTTGAGGACGCTTTCACTTTGCTAGCAGCTCGATTCATCCCGTCGACGCCTACTTGAAGCATGAAGTTGAAGAAAACTTCCTGAGCGTTTTTCCGGACGTCAGGATTTCGATCCTCCAGACAGGAAAAAAGATACGGCAAGCAGGCGTTGACATCGTCTTTGGCCAGACCTTTGACGGGAACATCTTCAGGAATTTTGGCCTTGAGCCACGCTAATAATTCCGCACGTAAAGTAGGGTTGTCCGCCTTCAGAGATTCTGCTATCATCTCTCCTTCGAAAATGCCGTGAATTTTGATTTTCTCTTCCCACGTGTCAAGGCATTCCTTCGCCGCGAGCCGCACATGTGGCTGTCAATAAAAAATAAAATAAATTTTAAAATATATGTTAGCTATCATTACAGAGTCATTTATTCCACATATCCAAGACAGCACACGCATTGAGCAGATTGACTTTTTATGCGCAGTTTCACTGCATAAGCGACATGCACGGATAGGCAAATTGCAAAAAATAGCGATCGCCAAAAATAATCAATTTATCTTTCGCTATTCACCTCCAGTACAGATTTCTCAAACTTTACCAAAAATGTAGTTTTTCCGAAAATTTCGTAAGACGAGATATTTACTATGTAAATGAGATTTTTCGAACGTACTTGATAAAAAATATGGGATTTTTTTCATTTCTTCACAACCCACCTGATTTTTGGGAACCAAATACGTCCGTTAAACGCGAAATCAAATGCGAAGTAGCTTACCTTACTGTCACCCAATGCTCCGATCACAGCCGGAATAATTATTCTAGCGTGCTGTTTTCCTTTCGGTCCCATTGAATCCGCTAGCTGTTTACAAATACCGATGGCTTCCATCATGAGATTTTTGTTGAGGTCTCCAACACGGCTCTTCAAGGCGGACGGAAGCTCGCCAAGATTCGGAGTAATGAACTTAGCTTTTCCAATAATATCTTTCACTTCAGCCAAGCCCTCAGTTCGGACCTAGTGCAACGGAAAATAGTGATCACCATATTGAACAAGCAAACAGAAATCTCATAAACACAAAGCATTTCAGATTAAGTTAGTTGGCCTTGATTTGAAAAAAATAAAATACAACACATGAGAGAAACCATGACACGGTTTGTCAAAAATTATTTCATCAATGACAAATCGCGTTGAATACCTTCCAGTTTTTGTCAGAGAGTTTCTCTATCAAAGCTGGGGAGATCTGATCCTCGATATCAACCCGCGGTATGAGATCTTCAGGGTTTATCTCTTGAGCAGATTCAACACGTGATGCAGCGGCGTCACTTTCGTCCCCAGCTGGAACAGGGATATGACCCCGGAAAGGTGCAGGTGGGCCCAATCCTTCCAACTTCTTAAATTCTTCATCTATTAACGCAACAACTTGCGGCTTTTCGTCGTCAAAAAATGTCCGCAGAGTCTTCCCCAAGTACAAATAAAGCGTCCCAATGAATCCAACGGCGGCCATACGAACAGCAGGATTGCTGGCGCCCAGGGCTCCTTTCACACTATCGACAGCCTGCTTGACAGGCAAGCTGAAATAAAAACAAACCATGCTCAACGCATAGTACTTGATACGAAGCCAGAAATTCAAAAATACGAATTTTCCATTCATACAAAAATGTACACGCGCAACGTGCAAATCAATTCAGTTTTTTAATCCAATTTTTCCGCAATAATTACGCCGTAATATCGGTTTATTTTATTTATACTTATCGTCAGCTAACCTTTCTCCATGCTCATAAGAAAATTGTAAGTACTCACTTAAAGCCGAATTCTTTCACGGCTTGAGACAGCCAGTTTAAAGCATCAGCTTGAACTTTCGGGTTCTTCTGTGACAAGGAGTGTTTCAATACTTCGCTACCGACCCAAGAGAGACCTCCGGTCATTCGCGATTCGGCAACCGCCGTCAAAGCTTCGCAGGCAGCTGGTCCACTTTTGGCATCACCCAACTTGTCCGTTAGATCAGGAATAACCATTATCGCAGAAGTCCTGGGAGAAATTAATAAGCCAAATTCAGTAAAAGAGAAAGGAATGAAGGGAGTCCTTTCATCAGCTCGTACGATTGATGCAGATGCTTTTACTTCAACAAAATTGCTTCTCTTTTAAAAACCGATAGCAAGTCTATACGGAAGAGTTTGTTCATATTCTCAAGTTCTTAACATACGAATGCGTCGATATTTTTTGTATGCACAGACTATATTCTTTTTTTTCGACAGGAAATCATTCAGACAAACAGAAGCAGAAAAGATTGGTACTTCATTTTATATCGTTTCATACGCAGCATTTGCTGAGAATTGATATTAAGAAAAATTATGTACCTCGAAACTTTGCTGCCCCCTGCGATGCTTTTGATCGCCTCAAAACGGAGTTTGAGCACTTGGAAATTGTTATCCTTCAGCCCAGGCTTTTTGCAGAGTATTTTGATGAGTGCTTGCGCAGGTAAGGTAGCCGCGTCTGAGCAACTAATTATTCGACCGACATTTTCGAGTGCGCTAAGTCGCGTTTTCCAGTTGCCATCCGCAATACCCTTCCTTATGTCTTCCGGGAGCAATTCTTCCAAGAGAGCTTCAGCTTCTTCCAACACTAATTCTTTTTCGGAATATTGAGATTCGTCGTTCACTCCAGCATTTCCTTTTCCTGAGCCCGCTTTTGTGGCAGTGGGAGCTGAGAAAGTATTCAACGCTCTTGAACGAAGAGGATACAATCCTCACAAATTTGAAGAAACCATCAAATTGGAAAATGCGTATCTTTCGTTCTTCAAGAAGTTGAAACTTGCAAGTGAGGAAATATTAAAAAAATCGAAAACACATTTTTTACCTTTCTTTTTCACCGGGGCCTTCTTCAAACCAGGAGCAGAGACACCGCTGGAAGGTTTCTTCACAGAACTCGAAGAAGCAGAGGGAAATTCTTCTTCCGGTTTTGAAACTGCAACAACTCGAGGAGCTGATGATTTTATCGATGCGACAGTTGTGGAGGATGACGAAGAAACAACAGAAACTTGAGATGGCTTTCCTTTGACTTCAACTTTATCAGCACACTCTTTCACCTGTCAATTTCACAAAAAATTACAATTAAGAAATAAGTTTTACTAAAGATTGACGTTCGAATAAACCTTTGCCATCTTCAATGGGTCGACATCCGTCATGAAAGGCATAACCAACTTTTCGCCGGCAATCTTGAGCAGGGCACCCAACGCTTCCGCAGCATTGTCACGAACCAGTGGATCTGAAATTTATGGGAGAAAAACATGTGATCTTGGATAGAAAACAGAAAAAAAATTGGTCATGAAAACATTATTCTTGCAACTGAAGTCAATTTATCTGAATTTAAATGCAAAAAAAATATCATTTCTACAAAAATGAGAAATAATTGAATACAAAAAAGGAACGTTTCTAATACGATAAATCCCTCACCGGATTCATTCAACGCTTTCAGCAAGGGAGTAATATAAGCTTTCAAGATTTTTTTGTTTGCAAGTGAGGTGGTTGAACTGCTTGCAAATGCTCGTGCAAGATATGAGGCGGTTTCTGCCTTGATGGACGGATTCTTGTTTTCCAAAGCTCCGCTGATGTCTTCTTGGATCACTTCGAAGGATAACTTCAAAAAGTAAAACGACCAATTAGGACGATTCGGCAGGATACGATAAAACCGGCTTCCCTTCATTTCAATGGCACTTCTGCATCAAGGAATCATTAGATCAAAATCTCAAAAAGTAAATATATTCTTAATATCTAGTTCAAGGTATTCATAATTGCAGAAGTAACATGACATACACAAAAAAGTATCTCGTATTTTTTAATGAATTACGGGAGAACTTTCTAATGCTGTAGTTGCATGACATGCATAAATACATTTATCCTGAGACTCGACAGAATAAAATCAAAAGAATGTAATTTTTCAACTCACCACAGCTCCAACGCTATCAATTGCATCACGCAACGAAGTCACAACAATGGTCTTCTTCTCTTTAAACTTTTCGAGTATCACACTGAGACACGATGCAGCGTATGGATGAAACTTCTTTTTCAATCCTTTGGCGATGCCTGTCAAACATTGAGCACCGAGCGCCACAAGCATTACGTTGGTGTCCTTCGCAATTACCTGCAATATTAACGCGTGAAGTGACAATTTTGGAGACAACTGATTCAGATCTCCGAAGCTTACCTTTTTCAGCAGTTTGATCAAATCGCCGTAGTCCCCGGGCTCCAACTTTGGATTTTTTGTTACCAGTTCAAGAAGAGTTTCAAGGGCCTCTTTGCGTTCTTGCCACTTTTTGGCTTCTGCTTTCTCGTAGAAATCCTTTGGAAGCTTACTCAGAATGTCGACTGGGTCCAGCAAATCATACGGATCGATGGGCGCCTCAGCGTCTCCCACCACTTCCCTCTCAACTGAAAAAAATTTTAGTAACAACCTCAGCAATTAAAAAATTGATCAGATAAAAAATAATTCATTATGCAGACATGCAGCGAGTCCCACATTTTCCAAAAAAGAGCCGATTTTTGCGCGTAACTTACAATTATGAAAATTACTCATCGTAAAAATACAAATACTGCAAAAATATGAGAACTCAAGCGCGCATCCAATGGTGTTGAATATTTGAAGATCGGTTCGATAAAAAGAATTCCAACTTTTTCAAGTGGAACACGGAAATCTGGTAAAAAATTCCATTCCTCCTCAGATAGCCTATGTATTTCAGAAGGCGGGACTAATTGGGAGGATTGCTGGGCTCTTCAAAGAAGGAAAGGCAAAAGGAGTGTAGCAAAATTTTGAAAAAGGAAAATAGCCAATTTTATACAGTAAGACGAGGAAGCAGCAGAAATACAAGACAGCGTGCCTGCGCAAGGACGAAGAGGCAGAAACACGAACAAAAGCCTTGACACTACCGTGTCTCTAGCCTGAGGGTACTTGTAGAATGGACTGCCAAGCAGAAATTACTTGGAAGGTCAACCGCATGCCTCAAATACACGCAGAGAAAGACTTCTTCCCGTCAGATCATGGAGCACAATTTGCAAGCGTTATCCGACAACGCTGGCACTTCACCAGTGCAAGTTTCTTCAAGACAAGTGCTAAGTGGTTGGTATAGAAAGGTTTTTTAAAATCTCAGCTAATCTTTAAAAAACTTCACTCTTTGCTGATCAAGTGCGGGTGGCAAAAGAATGCATTTACTGTACTGTATCATAGAATAAGTTTAGCTTGGTACGTACGACGCGGTACATACGCGCTGAGTGCACGGAAAATTGCTGATAAAATCCATAATACAGTACTTTGAGATCAGTGGAAAGTTTTCGTACGAAAAACGTCACGATCACAATTCGGAGAGAATTTGTGGAGCTCTCAGGGTCTCTCTCCTTCTTTCAATTCATTAAAAAAGACAATAG